CATATTTATTATGCATTTGTATTTCTATAATTAAATATATAATAAATACAACTAAAATATTTATAATATATAATATCTGTAATATAATCACATATAATCTTATATATAATAATATAAAACATAATATATAATAATACAATATAATATAGTATACTATATAATAGTTATTAATTAGAGATAGTTATTACAGATTATATGTGATAAACATAGAATTACATTTTTAAATACGTTTTCATATAGTTAAGTATGTAAGTTCAAAGCAGAGCATGAAAAGGGAAGAAGAGAAGCGCTGGTCTAGACAGAGCATGTGGAACAGTAAAGATCTTTGGAACTTGTGCAGTGCTGAGAAGCACAGAACATTAAATGTCTGCTACGCTTTTTTTTTTTTTGGGTCTGGTTGTGGGGCCTGAACTCTGGGTCTGGGCGCTGTCCCTCAGCTCTTCAGCTCAAAGCTAGCGCTCTACCACTTGAGCCACAGAGCCACAGAGCCACTTCCGGCTTTTTTCTTTTTGCTTATGTGGGTGCTGAGGAATTGAACCCAGGGCCTCATGCATGCAAGGCAAGCGCTCTACCACTGAGCCACCTTCCCAGCCCCCTGCTACGCTTTTTCTCCGTTTGATCATTGTCAGAAGTAGATGCGTGTTTGGAGGAGCCATGGGATTGGTGAGCGTGTGCTTGGGGAAGTGACTGGGTGGTGGTGGGAGTAGAACAGGCTGCAGAACAGGGAGACTGGATGAGCGTCTCAGAAACCCGGGTGAGATGTGAGAGAGCAGGTGCTCACAAAGTGCTGACTGACAGATGAAGATTTTAGTGGGGAAAGCAGAAACGAGTCCAGACACCAGACTTTTCATCAGTCACTTGTTTAAATGCTGGGGACCATCATGTCTCAGAGAACTTATGGTTATTGAGAAGAATGCATACGAAGTCCTTAAACATACTGCCTGAGGTGCTGCAAGTCTTCAGCAATTATTTGTACTATTACTTTTTCTCCTAAATATTCAATTTAGTGTTGGTACTAGAACTTGAACTCAGGGCCTGGGTGCTGTCCCTTGACTTTTTTTTGCTCAAGGCTAGCATTCCACCAGTTAAGCTACAGCTCCACTTCTGGCTTTTTGGTAGTCAATTGGTGATGTCTCGTGGACTTTGCTGCCAAGGCTGGCTTTGAACTGTGATCCTCAGATTATAACTTCCCATGTAGTTAGGATTATAGGTGTGAGCCATCTGGGCCCAGCTCACTTACTTTTTATTGCTTTCACTCCAACTCCCAAGTAATTTTCAGAACTCTTTTCAACCATCTTGTGAGTACATTTCCTTTTGAACAGTGTTACCCTCTCCATTTTCTCCCTTCAACCATCTCAAATTGTTAGATCTGATGGATCTCAAATTGCTATTCACTGTGCCATTTTGTATGGTCTTTGTTATTTTTTTTTTTTAGAGAATTTTCTCTGAAAATGTCACAACTCCAATGGTGAGCTTAAAAAAATAATTTTTCTCTGTGCTTCCTACTGTGAAAATGGTGTCTAAAGCATTTTATATCTGGGCAATTGGAAATACTTGACCTATTTTTCAATTTCTCTATGATTTGAGAGTCAGCTATGAAAGCCAATTTAATTCTTGATGTGGAAGTTTCCTATGAAGGTAAAGTTCAGTTGCTAGGAAGAATTTCTGAAGTATTTTAGAAGGTTTGAACAAGTTCAACACAGATGCCAGGGATAGTTCAATCAAACCTGTATATCCACAGTGCAGTTTGGAAGAAATGAAGACTCAGTAGTGATCAGAAAAGTTTAAAATGTTAATGGAAATGACAACTACCAATTATTGAGTTTTTTTTTTTTTTTAGACATTGAATTAGTTGTTTTAATATCTGTTCTGTCTGGAGCATTAGGAAAGAAATCTCCACATCACTTCTCAGTCTCTTAGTAAGTGGACTCAATGTTCTGAATTTGGTAGAAAATTTGTGCCAGATGTTGAAATGTTGAACCACTGCGCATTGTGAAATCTGGGTTTTTGCTGGATCTGTTGACTTCCCACGTTCTTTCTTCAAGTGGGGAACAGTGATACTGAGTGATAGAAAGCAGGATATTGCTCTTAGATTGATGTTTTAATCCTAAAGGCACATGCGCTTTAAGGTTCTGTACTTTCTTAGCTTCCTCATTTCTAATAGGAAATAATATCAGATGTACTATAGCTAACTGCCAGATTCTTCTTGTTTCTTTTCCTCTTTTTCTTCTCTATGATCCCCTTTCCTTTTTATCTATAGTAAAACTGTAATCCTTTCTTTACTCTTTGTCAGAAAACGTACATCCTCTACCACTTGAGCCACTGCTTCACCTCTGGTTTTTTGCTGGTAGATTGGAGATAAGAGTCTCTTGGATTTACTGCTCAAGCTTGCTTTGAACCTTGATCCTTAGATCTCAGCGTCCTTAGTAGCTAGGATTATAGGTGGGAGCCTGCTGTCTAGACAAACTTTTTTTTTTTTAAATGCTCATTGGTACTTCCCAAATCATTTTGTTGTAAACATTTTTTTTTTTTTTTGGTTAGTAAAAAAGCTTGAACTTAGGCCGGAGTGCTGTTCCTCAGCTCTTCAGCTCAAGGCTAGTGCTCTATCACTTTGAGCCACAACTCCACTTACGGTTTTCTGGTGGTTAATTGGAGGTAAGAGTCTCAGGGACTTTACTTTCTGGGCTGGCTTTGAACCACGCTCCTCAGATCTCAGCCTCCTGAGACGTCTACTAGCACTCAGCTGTTGTAAACTTTGGATGTCATCACCCAAGCATGGAGATGTTATCTAGGCACCTCACTCATCTAAGGTCAAGGTCAGGGAACTATCTCTCTCTTGTATCTACTCAACTGGCAAAATGGAGAGTGCCGGGAAGAGGTGTGTGTGCGTTATTTTTTTAATACAGTGTTTAATCTTGCAGGCCTGCCGGTCTCTTTCAGTCATACCTTAGGTTCTTAGAACTGGTAAGTTGGGGATTCCCAGCGATCAGGTCCCCTTCCTTGATACAAGTGATAGAGCCTTTCGGGTGCTTTCTTTTAGAAGATGCTTATTTAGGTCAGAAGAAGTATATCTTTAGGAGGTATTTATTTTTCTTTTAGTCCAAGGATAAGTTTTGCTAGATATTTTTCTTGAGATACTTACCTGGACTGGGCTTATCCACTGCTCTGAGCGAATCATTTCTGCAAGGTTAAAAGCCTAGTTGGGTGCTATAAGGCTGAGAGGGAGTAAGAAATTTCAAGTTGTCTATGAATATTGACTGTGCTTCCTTATTCTTATTTTTTCTCCCTCTGAGCTCTGGATGTTTAACTTGCTTTTATTCTCAAGCGACCTATTCTTCTATTATCCTTACTTAGTAGTTATCTCACAATTTTTTTTTTCCAGATCCTGGGTCTTGAACTCAGGGCCTGGGTGTTGCCCTGAGCTCTTTTGTTCAAGGCTAACACTCTACCACTCAAGCCATTGTGCCACTTCTGGCTTTTTTTGGTGCTTAATTGGAGATGAGTCTCATGCACTTTCTGGCCCAGGCTGCCTTTGAACCACGATTTTCAGATCTTAGCTTCCTGAGTAGCTAGGATTAAAGGTGTGAGCCACCAGCAACCAGCCGTTCGCTGGTTTTCTGGACTTGGAGTCTAGTGGGATTTTCTGACTGGGCTGGCCAGGAGTCAGGAGCCTCCGGACCTCTGACTTCGGCCAGCTAGTCACTGGCACTTGGCTGTAATGTTTTATTGTGCACTGAGTGCACATGTTTAATGGTGCATTGAGTACATGACTTTGCTATAAATCACCCTTTGGGGAGCTGTAGGTGTAGCTGTAGACATATGAGTAGCCTGTCTGAAAGCTGTACCTGGTCTGTGAATATTACAACTGCTTCTGTCCCCCTGTTTCAAAGCCCTATGCTGGGGCAGGATGAATGAAGTCAATTATCTCCCTTTCCTTACGGTGGAAAAGACTTGTTGCTTGGAACTGAAATATTTTTGTTCTTCCAGCTCAGTTCAGCTCTAAGAAAACCCCAACAAACTAGGCTTTATGAGTTAATCAGGCTTCATTTACAGAATTATAAGATGATAATTTGTTCCATTGATTCCACCTGCTTTTGTCTGTGACCAGATACGTGTTAATAGGGAATTCCATGTCTGTGGAGAATGAACCACCTCTTGGGCTCCTCCCAACTAAATCCTGTCCAGTGTTAGCCTTATTTACCTTTGCACCACGTGATCCTGCTCTTCTAAGGCTTGTTGAATATTGTAATTTTCCTGGGTCTGAATATTTGCATGAAGTAACGTGATTGGTCTAGTCCTGAAGATGGTAGGATTGACGTAGCTGATTTCCAAAATGCAGGTAGTTGAAAGAGTCTGAGAAGATGCTTGCATGGGCTGTATGTCATAAAAGCATATCATTATTCAGAAGTCTCAGCGTATCGGCGATAGAAATACCATGTCTTTATATTGGATGTCTGTTTTCTTTACTGCCAATGAAATCCTGTGTCCAGTTATATGTTTAGTTTAATGTGAAGTTGGGGGAAGTCACAGGTTGATGAAGGTGATGATATGTAAATCCATAAGGAGACATTCCTTTACACTTTCTGAGATGAAGTAGAATAAAACCTTACCTTTTTAGGGACTGGTTTATCATTCCATATTCATGAAAGCGATTATGCATTGACTTGTTTGTCAGATTTGGACTGTAGTTTCATTTTGTTAAAACAACCCTGAGCCAGGCCCTGGTGGCTCACGACTATAATCCTAGACTGAGATCTGAGGATTGTGGTTCAAAGCCAGCCTGGGCAAGAAAGTCCATGAGATGCTTATCTCCAGTTAAGCACTAAAAATAAAGAAAGCTGGAAGTGGAGCTGTGACTAGTGGTAGAGCATTAGCCTTGAGCATCAAAGCTCAGGGACTGCCCCCAGGCCCTGAGTTCAAGCCCCAGGCAGCACAGAAACAAAGAAACAAAAAACAACTTTGAAGGAGATGATTTTAGTTTCTTTATGTTTCAGGTACAAAAAGTAGAGACTTCAGTGATTTGCCCCATATCTCACAGTTGGTATTTGGGAGAGTTGAAATTCAAATCCAGGTCAGGCTTTGCACGTCCCATTCTTGTATTATGGAGTTTGAGATTATGGGGGTAGCTGGACATTGGAAGCAAATAATTCTGTTGAATCTCTTCTTTCCCAGTGTTGGGAAAGCTTTTATGTTTTAATTCTAAGTGAAAATGTTATGCTTCTCATCTTCTTTTTAAGATGGCATCTCCTGGATTTGCCCTCAGTGCCTTCATGCTTCTATGGCTCATTAGATCTGTAGTGAATTATCCCAATGGGAAAGTCACACAGTCTTGTGATGGCATGATTCCCCAACATGGCCACAGCCCACAGTCGGAGCCCATCCATCGCCTCACAGTGAGTGACAGGACATTCAGACCAGGAGACAAGATTGAAGGTAGCTGCTGTGCTGGGAATAACTCTTTGCATGTTGAATTTTACTCTTTTATGGCTCACTGAATCTTTATCATTGAATCATGATGATTTCATTTTAATGTATTTATTCAGTGGATATGTGTGTGTGTGCGCGTGCATGTGTGTGTGTGTGTGTGTGTACTGGGGCTTGAACTCAGGGCCTCATGTTCTCACTTGGCTTTTTTGTAGGCACTCTGTTTACTTGAGTCACACCTTCACTTCCGGCATTTTGCTGATATATTGGGGATGAAGTATCTCATGGATGTGCCTCAGCTGGCTTTGAACCATGATCCCAAGGTCTCAGCCTCATGTAAAGCTAAGATTACAGGCAGGAGCCACCTGCAGCCAGGCTATTGACTTGTTTTGTAAGATATCATCTTGTATTTGTCACTTGTTTTGGTTTTGTTTACTACAGATGACCATTTTATTTAAATGTATCCACTCTCTATTCAGAAGTGTTTTTTTTTTTTGTCAGCTGGGTGTTGGTGACTCATGCTTATTTATAATCCTAGTCACTCATGAGATGCAGATTGGAAGGATCATGGTTTGAGGCCAGCTACGTGCAAAATTTGCAGGATCCCATCTCAATCAGTATCTGGGTACAGTGGCTCAATCTGTCATCCCAGACCTGTGGGATTTTGAGATCTAGAGTATCAGGGTTCCAGGCTAGGTACTATGCCCTCCCTCCCCTGCCCCCCGCCAAAAAAAATTCAAGAGACCTCATCAAAGCAGAAAAGCTGGGTGTAGTAGCACACACCTATCATCCCACCTTCCCAGTACGAAGTGTAAATAGAAAGGTCATAGTTTCAGTCAGCCCAAGTGAAAAGTGATAACCTATCTCAAAAACTAGCTGTAGCAGTGAGGGCTGGAGTTATAGCTCAGGTGGTAGATGCTTAGCCAGTGAGCCCAAAAGTTTTATTATTGTTTATGTACATATGTATATTTATTTACTTGTATTTATTAACATATTAACATTATATCCACTCAGTGCCACTAGCTCAGTGGAGGAAGAAAATTACATTTTATCTTGTTTGAAATGTAATTTAGAGCCCTTGTCTTAAAAGAAGTCATATAGTCTCTTGTGTTTCCCTGACTATTCCAACAAAATGTAGGCTGAGTGTTGAAGTGCGTTTGTAATAGCAAGCCTTCATTTCTGCAGTTCTAGAAATACAGAGTATCAATAAATACTCTAATAGAAAAAAATACCTGAAGAAATAAGCATGGAAAACTTGTGTTATATGTATCTCTTAGAGTTTCACATTGCACAGTAGATTATTAAAGACCCCACAGGATTTGCAGTCAAGAAACACATACTGAATTGAATCTAGTGTTTTCCAAAGTAAAATTTTTCCCCTGTAGACTGCCCCCTGGTGGCCACCTGTGTTGTTACCGTATTAACCCATTCTGGAGTACAGATCCTGCAGAAGGTAGGTTAGAGCATCTAGCCTGTGCTAACTCGTTTTCTCTCCAGGAGCAGTTTTACATATGCATACCCCATTCTAATTGTGATGGGTTTCCCATCCTCATTCTTCTCTGGGATATAACTAAGTCTTCTAACCTGATTTTTAATCTGTTTCTCAGTTACTCTGTCGGGACCACCATTTAAAGGCTTTCTCTTAGAAGCCCGGGATGCTGAACGCTTGAGTGGCCCTCCTATTGGCTCCTTCACAGTGATTGACAGCCAGGTGTCACAGCTTCTGACTTGTGAGGATGTACAGGTTTGTCTTTCCTTTTGAAATTAATTTCTGCTAATTTCCTTGGGATCTTTTTTTCACTGTGGGGTGGTGCTGATCTTACCGTGTGCTGTAGACGTTTAGCCAGACTCACAACGATCACATGTTCTCTAATGTATTTGTCCTATGGGTTTATATATCAACATCCTAGAGAAATGCTTGCGATGATATTTACTTTTTATGAATGATATTTACTGATTTATGTGTGTCACTAATGTGAGGAGCTTTTGTTGTGGTAATTTCATAAGTGTGCACAATGTACTTTTTTTTTTTTTTGGGTGCCAATCTTGGGGCTTGAACACAGAGCCTGGGTGCTGTCCCTAAGCGTTTTTGTGCTCAAGTCAGGCACTGTACCTCTTGAGCCACAGCTCCACTTCTAGCTTTGTGATGGTTAATTGGAGAGAAGAGTCTCATAGATTTTTCTTCCTCAGGTGTCTTCTAACTGTCATCTTCTTAAATCTCAGCTTCCTGAGTAGTTGGAATTATAGACATGAGTGACCATCCTCTAGCTGTATCATGCACAAAAACTTTCCTTCTTTTGTATTGTAATGTCTTTGTATCTGGTTATTTAAGTTTATTTATTTATTTATTTTTTTGTCAGTCGTGGGGCTTGAACTCTGGGCCTGGGCACTGTCCCTCAGCTCTTCAGCTCAAGGCTAGCGCTCTACCACTTGAGCCACAGCACCATTTCTGGCTTTTTTTCTGCTTCTCTGGTGCTACAGAATTGAACCCAGGGCCTCATGCATGTGAGGCAAGCACTCTACCACTGAGCCAACTTCCCAGCTCTAACCTGTTTATTTTGAACTCATGCCCTTACATGTGATTGGGACAGTTGGACACAGGATGTGTAGAAAGTAGAACATGTGTAATTGGGACACACGTGAGTGGCACCATGTGATAATTTAGGCTAGGACATACACAGGTGAGTGAAGAGAAGAGAAGAGAGAAGAGAGCCACAAGCAGAGTTTCTAAGAGGGCAGAATCCTTAAACTAGGTTTTAAAGAATGTGTGAAAACAGGCCAGGTGCTGGTGGCTCAAGCCTGTAATCCTAGCTACTCAGGAGGCTGAGATCTGAGGATCGAGGTTTAAAGCCAGCCCAGGCAGGAAAAGTCCTTGAGACTCTTATCTCCAGTAAACCACTCAGAAAACCGGAAGTGGCCCTGTGGCTCAAGTGGTAGAGTGTTCGCCTTGAGCTGAAGAGCTGAGGGACAGTGCCCAGGCCCAGAGTTCAAGCTCCAAGGCTGACCAAAAAAAAAGTATGAAAACAGGGTGTGGCAGCTCATACCTGTAATCCCAGACACTAGGGTGGCTTAGGTTTTGAGACTGTCTCAACACAGATGAAACACAGCCCTTGCCTAGCAAGTACTAGGCCTAGTGTTCTACCACAGAGCAACTTAGAGTCATCAGAGAGGAAAAGAAAGGAAACAAGTTTCTAAAAAGAAAATGGGAAACAAGCTTGTTTAAGAATAAGGAATTCTCAAATATGTATTCATAGCTGTATTCTAAAATATGTATTCTTTCCAGTTTTTAAAATGGAAGAATCCTTTGCATTTTATTTGTGTTTATTAGTTGGAGGGACATTGATAGTGTGGCAAAAGATCAGGCTATTATATATATTTATTCATTTATATTCATTTATATATTTTTTATTCATTTATATAATGTTTACACATATAAATGTATAAGATGCATTTGTATAAATGATTATTTATTGTTAATATAAAGACAATATACAGTGAGATTACAGTTACATAAGTCAGGTAAAGAATACATTTCTTTTTGGACAAGTCACCCTTTCCCTCTCTCTCTTTCTGTTTTTCCCTCATGCCCCTACTCACAGTCTCTGTAACAACACATTCAATATCCATGACTCTCTTCAGTTCTTAAATATCAGAAGACTAATTTGTTCACAGAGCAAACTAGCAATATGTTGTCAACTGATCCGTGTGAATGTACTGAGTGTTCACCAGATTGCCAAGGAATGATAATTACATTGCAAAGCCATGGTGGTGGGCTGTTGGATGATGAAACAGTAGTTCCTCTGCATTTTATTTCAGAAATCAGCTGTGAGCCACAGAAGTTCATCCAAGAAAACAGAAGTGAGAGTCTATTGGAATGCTCCAAGCAGTGCCCCAAATCATGTACAGTTTCTGTGAGTAGAAGAATTGACATCTTTCTAATCAATATAATCCAACCATAATGGATTGTTCTAGTTTCTATGCTAGTCAACTGTATAAGAGAGTTTTGGTATAGTAGTGACACCATCATAACAATAAAGGATTTTATTTTATTTTTTTTGGGTCCGGTTGTGGGGTCTGAACTCTGGGCCTGGGCGCTGTTCCTCAGTTCTTCAGCTCAAGGCTAGTGCTCTACCACTTGAGTCACAGTGCCACTTCTGGCTTTTTTCTTTTTGCTTATGTGGTGCTGAGGAATCGAACCCCAGGGCCTCATGCATGCAAGGCAAGTACTCTACCACTGAACCACCTTCCCAGCCCTTAAAGGATTTTTTTTAAAAGTGAGTTCTTGCTTATAGCTTGAATTGGCCCCAAGTTTAAGATCCTCCTGCCTCAGCTTCCTGAGTACTAGCTTTCCAGCCATGTTCCACTAAACCTGGAAGGATAGGCCTTAGTAGACATTTGTGGGATGAATGAAATATTGCACTAATTTGATACTCGTAAGAGCCACCAGTTAATACTTGAATAGCTGATGTATGGAGTAATACTCTTTAAAATATTTACTCCAGGATGGGTGCTGGTGGCTAACCCCTGTAATCCTCGCTGCTTAGGAGGCTGATATCTGAGGATTGTAGTTCAAAGCCAGACTGGGCAGGAAACTCTGTGAGACTCTTATGTCAAATAAACCACCAGAAAACCAGAAGTGGTGCTGTGGCTCAACATGATGACATGCTAGCATTGAGCAAAAGAGCTCAGGGAGAGTACCCAGGCCCTGAGTTCAAGCCCCATAACCAACCAAATAAAAAAGAATGATCCTTGTGTGTGTGTGTATGTGTGTGTGTGTGTGTGTTTATGTGTATGTGTGCTGGTATTGGGGCTTGGTCTCTCAGCCACAGTGCCATCCTGAAGCTTCTGTATTCAGGGCTAGTGCTCTACCACTTGAGCCAAGCTCTAAGTCTAGCATTTTGGTGGTTAATTAGAGATAAGAATCTGAGATTTATCTGCCTGGGTTGGCTTCAAACAGTGACTCTCAGAGTAGCTAGGATTACAGATATGAGCCGTGGGTGCCAGCTTTGTTTCTACTTTAGTATGAGAATGAGAGATCATCCTGAAATGAGGATGATTTTGTTTTTCAGTGTTACAACTTATATTCTAGATGGCCAGAAAAGTAAACCTGAATTATGGGCCTCAGAAGACTTGAACTAATACTTTCACCCTGGTTTTCTATGTGAAAGGAAATGGAATATCCTAAAACCATGTAAAAATTGCTGAGTGTTATAAGAAGCTTAGTTTCAAGGGATAGATGGCTCTCCTTTGAGGTCTTCATTTCCTGCTTAACTTGGTACGAAGGCTCCCCTCCTCCCGCACATGTGTCACGGCTTTGGACCTCTGTGTTGGGTGCAATATGCTGTCTGTGATTGCTGGAAGGTTGCTCGTTCAGCTTCTTTTAGTTTTCCATGTGGTACACCTCCCCTTTGAGGGAGTATGAATAGTACATGATAAAATGATGAGTTAAATGTTCATTATGTGTCAGGGAGCAGAAATCTGTGCGCTTGATTCCCTGAGGCTGGATTAACAACTGTGGCTGTTGTTAATATGCCCAAAGGACAGACAAGTAAGAACTGAGGACAGAGGGAGAGAAACTAAGTTTATCTAGTGATGGGGTAAAAGACTCATTGCAGATTTGTCTTATAAAAGTTGTATGTTCCTAGTTCATTCCCCTTTTTCCCTTTAAAATTCTCTCTGTCTGTCTCTGTCTCTCTGTCTCTGTCTCTCGCTCTCTCTGTACGAATAATGGGACTCGAATTCAAGGCCTGGGTATTGTCCCTTAGTTTTTTCACTCAAGGTGGGGACTCTACCATTTGAGCTACAGCCCCACTTCTGGCTTTTTGGTGGTAAAATTAGAGGTAAGAGTTTCACGAACTTTCCTGCCCGGGCTGGCTTTGAACCGTACTCCTCAGATCCCAGCCTCCTAAGTAGTTCGGATTACAGGATTACAAATTTTGATTTGAGTACAATGGACCACAGACACGGTGTTGTCTAATTTTATTGGTACTGCATTTCAGAGTCACGGTTGTTGAGAAGTATAAAATCTACTGGGTGAAGATTCCTAGTGACGTAATTTCGCAACCGAATGCACTTCCTTTTACGACACCTAAAGCCACCAGAATGCCATTGTCAACATCTCCCCCAGTTTCCCACTTAACCAAACCAGTGAGTAACATTTATTCATTCATGTATTCATTCATTCATTTATTTATTTATACCAAATGCAGTGTGAAATAGCAGCTTTCTTGGAAATGGTGGTTCTATGCCTTCTTTGCAAATTACTCAGTAAGAGGGAGCTGTTTGGGTTGTTATAGCAAGTGTTTGGGTCCAATATATTAAATATCTGTTCTATGGCCCACTCTCTGGGTAGTAAGAATTCTATGTACTAAGCTCCAGAAAATCTCAGCAAGCTTATGAGCTAGAATTCCTTGTAGGCCCTATAATACAAAGGAATCAGTATTGAAAAGTACCTTGGAACAGATAAGGCATGTGCAAAATCATGGGATGAAGCATTTTGCCAAAGGAGATGCTAATCAAGTAGGCTTCCGAATTCAGAAATACGAATGGTTTAAATCTCTTATTAGTGGAGGAGAAGCAAACCTGAGGCTAAGTACTGATTTGTCTGCTTTCTGTGGGTCTTTGAGAAATGTCTCCAGTTTCAGGCTCCGTTTTTTGTGAGAAAAAGAATGAGAAACAGCTGGGCGCCGGTGGCTCACGCCTGTAATCCTAGCTATTCTGGAGGCTGAGATCTGAGAATCGCGGTTCAAAGCCAGCCCGGGCAGGAAAGACCATGAGACTCCTATCTCCAATAAACCACTAGAAAACCGGAAGTGGCGCTGTAGCTCAAGTGGTAGAGTGCTCACCTTGAGCTGAAGAGCTGAGGGACAGAGCCCAGGCCCAGAGTTCAAGCCCC